ATACCCACCTCAAACGGGAGTCTTTTATTACCAATTATATCATTTGTAATTTTCATATTTTGTTCAATAGATCTTTCTCTTTTCTGGAACTATCTATATTTTCTTCTAGAAGTTAAGTTTTTGTCTTTCACTTTTTTTTTTTTTGACAGGCAGAGTGGATAGTGAGAGAGAGAGACAGAGAGAAAGGTCTTCCTATTTGCCATTGGTTCACCCTCCAGTGGCCACCACGGCCGGCGCGCTGCAGCCGGCGCACCGTGCCGATCCGAAGGCAAGAGCCAGGTGCTTCTCCTCATCTCCCATGGGGTGCAGGGCCCAAGCACTTGGGCCATCCTCCACTGCATTCCGTGGCCACAGCAGAGAGCTGGCCTGGAAGAGGAGCAACCGGGACAGAATCTGGTGCCCTGACTGGGACTAGAACCCGGAGTGCCAGCGCCGCTAGGTGGAGGATTAGCCTATTGAGCCGCGGCGCCGGCCTTTCACATTAATTACTTAATTCTTGTGGAATGGATGTTGTGTCAAATGAGTAACTCTGAAGAGTTATGAGGGGCTTGGAGTTTTATCCTACTTGAGAACTACCAAGTAGCCTGCCACAGTCTCATGAATGCTGGCAGAAGACGTGAGACTCCTGGGTCAGAGGCAGATGTCTCTACTACTTATAGGAGGGCAATCAGCATGAAGGTATTGCGTTTCCTGGCCCAGTTCCCAGAAGGCTGTGAAGAGGTGTGAAGAGGTGTGATGGTTTCTACACTGAAGTGGACTGTGTTGTGGAAGAGGAACCTCAAACGTAGGGAGCCTGAGTTGTTATAATGCAGTCGCCAGCCTGAACTTATCCCCAGAGGGAAACATTATTATTGAACAGTAAACGAATCCAGTCTTTGCTCTAGAAGAACCTGTCTTCATCTTTCCAGAATCTTTGCTATACAAATAGCCTTGAAAAGAGAGCTTGGAATAAAGGCAGCCAGTGCCTCTCCATAGAGAATGTTCAGAGGCACGAGCAGTCCATGTGGAATTAGCTTCCAGTAAAACCAAGTGTTCCTGCATGATTTCTTCACAGATGCATCCCCTTCCACCTGATCCATCATGCTATTTCTTCTTATATCAATTTGGAAAGTGCACGGATAGTTTCTAGGGTCCCCATTTTGTCTCATTGGTTGGTTTGTCTATCTTAAGTGTTATAATTTTATGTCAAGTCAGTACCTGGTAGAATAAGTCTTTCACCTCATTCTTTTTTCAGAAATGTCACAGATATTCTTGGCATCTTGTGCTTCCATAAGAATTTTAGAATCAGCTGGTGAAGGTCCTCGCAAAGCCCTGGTAAAATTTGGGTGGGCATTTTTTTTTTTGACAGGCAGAGTGGACAGTGAGAGAGAGAGACAGAAAGAAAGGTCTTCCTTTTGCCGTTGGTTCACCCTCCAACGGCCGCCACAGCTGGCGCACCGCGCTGAACCAAAGGCAGGAGCCAGGTGCTTATCCTAGTCTCCCATGGGGTGCAGGGCCCAAGGACTTGGGCCATCCTCCACTGCACTCCCAGGCCACAGCAGAGAGCTGGCCTGGAAGCAGGGCAACCAGGACAGAATCCGGTGCCCCAACCGGGACTAGAACCTGGAGTGCCGGCGCCGCTAGGTGGAGGATTAGCCTATTGAGCCGCAGCGCCGGCCAGGCATTTTGTTGATTGAATAGATCAATTTGGAGAGAATGAGCATCCTTTTTTTCCAGATTTTTTTTTTTTTATTTGAAAGGCAGAGTTACAGAGAGGAAGGGAGAGAGAGAGAGAGAGAGAGAGAGAGAAAGATAGAGAGAGATTGTCCATTTGCTGGTTTACTGCCTAAATGGTTACAACAGCTAGGGCCGGGCCAAGGTGAAGCCAGGAGCCTGGAACTCCCACATGGGTGGCAGGCAGAGTACTTGGGCCATCTTCCACTGCCTTTCCAGGAACATTAACAGGGAGCTGGATCAGTTGGAATTTGAAGTGACACTCCAATATAGTATGCTGGTATCTCAAGTGGTGGCTTAACAAGTTGTGCCACAATGTTGGCCCCTAAACTTACTTAATTCAAATTTCCATGAAAGTTTTTTTAAAGATTTATTTACTTATTTGGAAGACAGAGTTAGAGAGAAGGAGAAACAGAGAAGGAGAGAGAGAGAGAAAGAGAGGTCTTCCATTCCGCTGGTTCATTCCCCAAATGGCCACAACTACTGGAGCTGTGCTGATCTGAAGCCAGGAGCCAGGAGCTTCTTCCAGGTCTCCCACACAGGTGCAGGGGCCCAAGCACTTGGGCCATCTTCTACTGCTTTCCCAGGCCATAGCAGAGAGCTGGGTTGGAAGTGGAGCAGCTAGGATTCGAACCTGTACCCATATGGGATGCCAGCACTACAGGCAGCAGCTTTACCTGCTACACCACAGCACCAGCCTCCAGACAACCCGTTTTTACATTTGATGGCACGCCACGCTCAGTTTTCAGCTCACTGTTTTTCTGTTTTTAAAATGCCTTTGGGATTTCTCTTACTTTCTTGCAAGCTAAGCTGTGTGTTAAAAATAAGCTAATTATAATTCATTGAAGATCTAGTAGCATTGTATAAGGAAGGCTTTTTAGAATATGTAGTTCATACTACTAGAAGCAGACGCTAAGAGTAATCTTGTTAAACCTTTTGGGTCATTGTCCTGCTTAAGACCCTCCAATGGCTTTTTCTTGCATCTAAACATTGCATGAACTTCCGTGGCTCCCTGCAGTGTTGGCTGGGCTCCCATTGTTCCTGTCTGCCACCTGCTGGTATTCGAGCATATTGAGCTCCTTCCCACCAAAGAACCTTTGGGCTGCCCCTAGGTGGCCTTCCTCTGTGTGCACAGGGCCAGCTCCTTCTTATCCTTCAGGGATTATTTTATGTATTTAAAATTTTGGCTTGTTTGGGGGGGGGGGTAGAAACACAGGGAGGGTGGGAGGGAGGGAGAGAAAGAGATAGAGAAGGAGAGAAAGATAAAGATTGAGAGCCCAGCCACTGGTTCACTCCCCAGATGTCCACAGTGGCCAGGACTGAACCTGTGTCAGAAGGTGGGAACTCAATCCAGGTCTCCTGCTTGGATGGCAGCACATGTACCTCCCAGGATCTGCATTAGTTAGAAGCTGGCCCTTTCAACCTGCAGCTGAAAGTAGAACAAAGAGACTCAGATGTGGGATGTGGTTGTATTGTGTTTTTTATTTTATTTTATTTTTTTTACTTCAAAGGCAGAGTGACACAGGGAGAGACAGATAGAATAGATAGAGGAGGAGGAGCGGAGATTGTTCACCCACTGGTTCACTCCCCAGGTGCTTACAATATCCAGGGCTAGGCCACATCAAAGCCAGGAGCCAGGAACTCTATCCTGGTCTCCCATGGGCCCATGTGTGGCAGGGACACAAGCAGTTGAGAGCCATCATCTCCTGCCTCCTAGGCACATAAGAAGGAAGCTGCGTTGGACGTGGGGTAGGTGGAGTGTGAACCAGGTTCTCTGATACGGGATGTGTGTCTCCTGAGGATGGCTTAACCTGGGCCTTAACCCTGAGGCCACATGCACTGCCCTCTTGACTCACTTGAAATACCCCCCTTTCATAGAAGCTTTCCCTGCTTGGCCTCCCTTGTTGCTATTACACCACCTTGTTTTATTCTCTCTAGGGCTCCTGTTGTTAGCTGACATTCTCCTATTCTTGTGTTTCTTCCCCTGGAACATAAGACCTAAGAGAGCAGAGATATGCCTTGTTTGACCCACCACAATTTTCTTGGGGTTTACAACAATCTTTGGCACACAGTAAGAACTTGATGTATATCTGTTCAATGACTAGAGCTGACTGTGACCCTTAGTCCCACTAATTCCTAGTATCTTCCCAAAACCAGCTTGCTTTGTTAATTTACTTGTGTACCTGGCCCTTTTATGTGTTTAGGCTTTCAATCTGCTTTCATAATTATCACCCTTAATTATCTTCAGCATTTTGAGAATTGAGACTTTGCTTTATGTTTCTTCCCTTCCTTCAAAACCTTGTGTGGAGTAGGAGAGGAAGGAATCAATATTCATTGACCATCTCCTGCCTGCCAAGGACAACACTGTGGTTTAATTTATATTCTCACATCAGCACTGACTGCTGAGACTTATTATTTATACCCATTTTGTAGGCAAGGACACTGAGGCTTGAAGTGACTCAGAGTCATATAGTAAATGAAGGATCTTGGCCAGCACCGCGGCTCACTTGGCTAATCCTCGGCCTGTGGCACCGGCACCCTGGGTTCTAGTCCTGGTTGGGGCGCCGGATTCTGTCCTGGTTGCTCCTTTTCCAGTCCAGCTCTCTGCTGTGGCCCGGGAAGGCAGTGGAGGATGGCCCAAGTGCCTGGGCCCTGCACCCGCATGGGAGACTAGGGGGAAGCACCTGGCTCCTGGCTTCAAATAGGCGCAGCGTGCCGGCCGCAGCCCACCAGCCGTAGTGGCCATTTGGGGGGTGAACCAACAGAAAGGAAGACCTTTCTCCCTGTCTCTCTCACTGTCTAACTCTGCCTGTCAAAAAAAAAAAAAAAAAAAAAAAAAAAAAAAGGAAATGAAGGATCTGGAATTGGAGCCCAGCTAGACAGCACATGCCCAATATAAAGCAAGGCGATGGGGCCACTTGTGTCTCAGGAACAGGGGCATGTTTTCCATTTGCAAAGTAGAGATTGATTGAGCAATTTTAAGTTTCAGGCCAAGTTTTACTTGAGGGCCCAGCTGTTTACTTAATTATCAAGTTCACTCCCCTGGGTGCATGAAGAATGAGCTTAAGGTATTTCAATATTTGGCTAGAAGAGGCTCTGGAAATGTTAATCATGCCTTGTAGGTGAGGGTCCTGCAGAGCTAATAAAATTTGCTGTTGGCAAAGTTATGGAATGCAGGAGGCAAGGAGATTTTTCTAAAAAGAGTTACTTCAAACTCTTAGCTATCGCTGGACCACTGGACAAAGACAGATAGTGAATGCAACAAATATATACCACATCACAAAGAGTTTTAAGTACCAAAATCTTATTTTTATTTTTTTACAGAAATTCAGATATTCCAACAAATTTCTTTACATTTCCTGGACCTTAAAAAAATTACACACAACTTTTGGACGCAATACAACAGAACAGAATGAGGAGGGGAGTCACTTCTTGTTTTTTTTTTAAAAAGATAAAAACAGACTTGTTATACTTAATTAACATTTAGTGATTGACACGACTATTACCTATGTACAAATGGCACATCATCAATGACCCATCTTCACAGCACTGTGGTATGCTAAATTACACTTAAGTTCTATGGCAAAACCTTTAAGGAACCTTTGTATGTAGGTGTAAAATACTTTGTCATTTTTGTTAATACCACTACTAGTGATGTAGGCCTCCCAATGGAAGCTGTAATTTACATGGGTTAAAGAAAGCCAATACCTTCTGTGCTGACTGTAGGTACAGTAGAAAGTAGAGAGGTATCTCCCTTTAAATAAAGATGAATTCTTGAAAAGTTGTGTGTAATTGAATTTAGTAAGTAGGATGTTCTGGATGCAGTAGAAGAGCTGATACTCCACGCAACAAATCACCCCCGGAACAGCCAATCCTTTAGTCACAATGCCACATCTTCCCTTACTCGGTTCTTTAGAAAAGTCACATCTCTGCGAAGTGAGTTTACTCACTTGCCCATACTGGGTATATGCTTTGAGTCATTTGACACATTGTCTCATTGACGGTGAAAAGAAGGCTATACCAGAATCATGTGACCAAAACAGGCATGGTCCTAATATAGGGTGAAAGGAGTCAGCCTCGGTGCACATCAGTTCTTTGTCGGATGTGCTAGTAATGTATGCTAACTTGATCTTACTTTTGCGTCTACATGTGAAGGCATTCCATGTGTCTACATTTTCTGCTCAGGTATAGAACATGGTTTGGCTTCCACCAACTATCCCTACATGTGCACTGTAGCTTGTATTCATCAGGCAGTTGGATCTTTCAGTATTAAATACTCCTGTGTTTTGGATGTTGGCAGGGTATGTGGTGATGGCGTTGGTGGGCAATGCTTGGGAAGCAAAGACTGTTGAAGACAACTCCTTTAGTTTTAAGTGCTTCCAAATGCTAGCCAATGAAAAACAATCAGAGAATTCTCAAAACCAACATTAGTCAACAAAAAGGTCTCTTATTCCTACCAAGTTTCTTTGACCTGTATATGTATATAGTCATTTATTTCTAAGGCTATTAGATTGTTATTTGTTTTGTTAGTATTACTTACTATGATTTAGAAGTAGGTTTAATGGACTGAGGAATGATTAAAAAATGAGTACCTGTCAATAGGGGAAATAAAGAGTATGGATTTCCGATGACATCTATGGCAAAGAAATAAAAAAAGAGATATTTTAGATATCTACTTATAAAGTATATTAAACCCCTATGCACATACTAGGGAGAATTAGAAAAAAGTATTTATTGGATAGCAGCCTATATATTACATGTGAGCATCCAAGGTGAAAATGAGCTTTTTCTATTTTTCAGAGGTCCTCGGTGGTGTTTTCTGAAAGACAGGGAAATCTCTGTTGCTTGGCAACCTAGGATGTAAAGATGTACCTTGCGCGGTATACAGCTTGGTGGAGTAAGAGTATATGTCAGAAACACTTTCTCAGTCATCACTTGCATGGACAGATTAAAGTGAACACAGACTGGGTACAAAGTTTGAGTGTTACGTCTCTTCATAACTGAGTGGTTGAAAGTAATCACACAGTGAAAGAAAGAAGAGTGGAGCTGCAGAACCGAAGGTCAGAGGCGTTCTCTAAGATGCTTTCTCAACAAGTGACACTCGGCCAGTCTCTTAGCTGTTAAGATAGGGATAATTTAGACCTAACTGTCTTTTTGAAAATAGTGTCAAAAGGTTAAAGCTTTTTGTTTGTTTGTTTGTTTTTGTTTTCAGTTTGATTAAAAAAAGGACAGTTTACAAACCTCGGTATGTGTATATAGTTTTACATGTTAATTCTGGTACACATATATCCTGCTTCCTTAAAGTATTTCCTGAATATGATTTTTTTTCGTGAATGTTATCTGATCTTATTCAGTGAGTTCCGATGAGCTGGTGTGTAATCCACGATTGCATCTTTCCAGAAAAGTCCTTCCCATCTCTGCTGCTCTAGGTTTGGAGGGTGCTTTGACAAAGGGGTGTGTCGGGCTTGTCTACATTTCGTCTCTGAGCTCTCATCTCTCCCAAGCGTCTTCCTTCTTGATGTTGATGTACAAAAGCTGTTGTTCGGTTGGTTTAGCTGTTATTTGATTTGTTTTGTGCTCATTCTAGAGAATATTGGCTTAGCAGAACTGCAGAAAGGGGAGGGAAGAGAGAGAGAAGAGGTGGAGGGGAAGAGAAAAGAATGCATTATCTGGTCTGTCAGCATGATTTTTGCACACAATATTTGTCCCAGAAAAACCACACCAACAAATGGCTCAGATATATTTCAGATTCTTTGCCAAAGAAGACAGGGCAGATTGAGATTTCTGTTCCATGGAGCACACGGCGCAGCCTTCCTGATAAGGGGACGTCCTGTAGCTCCCCACAGACTTCTTTCCTCTGGGACAGGGGCACTGGCTGCCTTGAAGGAGGAAGGTAGGAGGTGGAATGATGCCACCAGGGCAGACCTTTCTGCCTGGACAGTGTCTCAGTGGAGGGTTTTGTCTGTCTTTCCCAGTTTGATTTTAAAGACAACATTCTAACCGCTACAAGTAAATGACTGTGAAGATGAATCATCTACAGCCCACTCACCTTGACCTACCTTCTGTTTCCTTCCCATTCCTTAAACACACACTTACTTTATGTAGTAGACATCACAATACAGATGACATTTTTAACATCATGTTAAATGCAGTTTTCTATATTGACACTTTTTATACACATCAGCATCACATTTCTTTTTTAAGAAGTGATTTATTTATTTATTTGAAAATCAGAGTGACACGGAGAGAGGGAGATACACACACACATGCACACACATGCATGCACACACACACAGAGTTTGCTGGTTCACTTCCCAAATGGCTGCAATGGCCAGAACTGAGCTGATCCAAAGCCAGAAGCCAGAAGCCAGAAGCCAGAAGCCAAAAGCCAGAAGCCAGAAGCCAGGAGCTTTTTCCAGGTCTCCCACATGGATGCAGGGGTCCAAGGACTTGGGTCATCCTCCATTGGCCTACCAGGCCACAAGCAGAGGGCTGGATTGGAAGAGGAGCACCTGGGACAGTAACTGGCACCCAAATGGGATGCTGGCACCTTGGGCGGAGGCTTAAACTACTAAGCCACAGTGTCGGCCCCATCATTATTTGCTCTTAAAATGTTTTCATTAGGATAAATTCTTGGGAGATGGTAGCTTTTCCTTTTTTCTAGCAGACCAGGAACTCTGCCTGAATCAACAGAGCTAGGCCACAAGCAGAATGCTCAGCCCTTTTCTTTAGGTGGTTTTCACAGTCTCTGGCATCAGTAGGGTGTTGGGGCACCTTATGGGTGGTGAGGCTGGGTAAATGCACCTAGCTGGCCATGGTGTGGCAGATTTTGGCACATGAGAAGAGCATTTTGGTTCCAAGTCACAGAGCACTTGGAAACACAAGGTGAGACTATCATCACTGAATCTGTGCTAGACAGACCTCTCCAAGACTTTGCTGCTCTTTGCAGTGTTTTCCCCCTGGCTTTCCAACACACTGTAAAAAAGCCTTGTGCACATGATGATTTGAACCAACTTGTTTCAACAAGAGCGCTCACCGTTGTTTTAATGCCCGCAGACAACATAGGGGATAATTGAAATCTGACCGTGTCAAAATGATGCTTAGTCTGTAGCGATTCTCCGAGAATGAGTCACGCTGGCAGAAGCCCTGTGGAAGGGAGCGCTTTCGGCAGATATTATTCAAAGCAATAGGGAGCAGGCAGTGCCTGTGCACAGTGCTCCTGGCAGTTCTGCACCCGGGATGGTTTCTGCTGGGCTGCTGTCGAGGTGCTCTGGCTGCTTGGGATTCCCACGTCTGGATTGCGGGCTTCTGACTCCACATTCTAGCATTCTTCACTCTGCACACCATTCTCTCTAAGTTCTACAAAAGCTGAATGTCTAGGTTTTCCAGTAAGACCGTGCAAGGTGCTAGCTGGGTATGGGGGAGGGGAGCAGTGGGCAGGGGCTGCTGACACAGGAAAGAGAACTTGGAAATGGGTTGAAAAGTAGCTGATCACCAGAGGAGAGGGCAGCAGGTGGAGGCGCTCAGAGCTGTACACATGCATGATGCAGGGGAAGTGTGTGTGTGTGTGTGTGTGTGTGTGTGTGTGTATGCGAGGCAAAAGTCAAGTTTCTCAAATAAATAGACTTTTAATTTCATGATAGAGAAGTCTGCTTTCATGTGAATCGTTTGTTGGCATCCGTGAGCCAGGGACTCCCTGCTTGTCTTTCTGAGGATCTAAGATGCCTGATCTGACTTTATGACCCCACAGGATGAAGGAAATCCTGAGACTTCCAGGAGGTGAGTGACTGTGTCGAAACTGCATCCCAGGTGGTGTGAGACCAGTGTTCAGTGCGCTGAGAAGGGGACAATGGATGTTAGAAGGGATTTATTATTTTATTAAAGATTTTTTAAAATTTATTTGAAAGATAGAGTTACAGAGAGAGAGAGAGGTAGAAAGAGAGATCTTCTATCTGCTTGTTCACTCCCCAAATAGTTGCGTCAGCTGGGGCTGGGTCAGGTTGAAGCCAGGACCCAGGAGGTTCATTTAGATCTCCCATGTGGGTATAGGGACCAAAGTACTTGGGACATCTTCTGCTACTTTCCAAGGCACATCAGGAGGGAGCTATATTGGAAGTGGAGCAGTTGGAACTCGAACTGGTACTCATATGGTTTTCGGCATTGCAAGCAGCAGCTTAACCCACTATGCACAATGCCAAGCCCTACCATTTTTAAAATTGTAAGAAGAGGGCAACGGTGGCTAATCTCACAAGTGTCCCTCTTTATTTCCTATCATCATGCCCTGTAGCTCTGGGCCTGGCCAGGACAGGTCCTACCTCAATAACCCCTTCTGTATCTGTTCTGGTCTTGGGTCACTGGTGGCTTCCACAGGGCTGACTCTCTCATGGGGTCCCTTGTCGTAGTCTCATCTTTGATTGGCCAACCTCTCTTCATGAAGCTCTATTCTATGCTGGCTATTATTATTATTTTTTTAAACAGATTTATTTATTTATTTGAAAGTCAGAGTTACACAGAGAGAGGAGAGGCAGAGAGAGAGAGGTCTTCTGTCCGATGGTTCACTCCCCGGATGGCCACATCGGCCGGAGCTGCGTCAATCTGAAGCCAGGAGCCAGGAGCTTCCTCTGGGTCTCCCACATGGGTACAGGGGCCCAAGGACTTGGGCCATCTTCTACTGCTTTCCCAGGCCATAGCAGAGGGCTGGATCTGAAGTGGAGCAGCTGGGACTAGAACCGGCGCCCATATGGGTTGCTGGTGCTTCAGACCAGGGCATTAACCCGCTGCACCACAGCACTGGCCCCTGTGCTGGCTATTATTTTATTATTATTATTATTATTATTTATTTTTTGACAGGCAGAGTGGACAGTGAAAGAGAGACAGAGAGAAAGGTCTTCCTTTACTGTTGGTTCACCCTCCAATGGCCACCGCGGCCGGCACACCGCGCTGATCTGAAGGCAGGAGCCAGGTGCTTCTCCTGGTCTCCCATGGGGTGCAGGGCCCAAGCACTTGGGCCATCCTCCACTGCACTCCCGGGCCACAGCAGAGAGCTGGCCTGGAAGAGGGGCAACCGGGACAGAATCCGGTGCCCCGACCGGGACTAGAATCCAGGGTGCCGGCGCCGCAGGTGGAGGATTAGCCTATTGAGCCTCGGCGCCGGCCTGTGCTGGCTATTATTAACACTGGGGCTGGACTCCCCAGTCACGGTGTGGGCGAGAAGTTGAGGAGATAATGGGAAAGTGAGAGTGTGAAGACAGGGAGCCCTGCCTGCACTGGGGGAGGTAGATGAGGTGCTTCGGAAACAAGTTCAAGGAGACTCACCCACCGGGTCCTGCATATGCAGGGCGAGTGCTGCCTTCAGTTCTGCACACTGGGCATCTGGCTCACCTCACCTTGCTACTGTGCCCTGCCCTTGACTGCAGGTGGCTCATCATGAGACTTACTCAGAGGGTTTGCTGGAGTTTGCGATACTCAGACACAGCAATGACAGGGTATTTTTTTTTTCTTTCTAGTTCAGGATACAACCATGTAACAAGAACCCCAGGACATATGAGAGTGCTGCAGAATGTTGGGCTAAAAATAGTCAGGATTTTTGTTCCAGGGGGTACTCGGAACACAAACACTCCCCATGTGATCCCAGAAAATCACTTGGCAGGGAAGATAAAACCGGAATGCTGTGATGATGACTTAGTCGGCATGCACAAGGAAGAGTTTTTCACCTGAAGGCGTCAAGCAGATTTGTGAAGAGAGTAGGCAGACAGAAACAGAGGGCAGGATTTTCCTCTCCACATGTGGCTATCACTCCTTCAGCCTTAAGACTATGGGACACCAGGGCAGTTTGCAGAATTTAGTGGAAGCACTGGGGTGGCTACGCTGAAATCGTTGCCTTGTAAAACAGTCTGCTCTTTTCAAAACTTTTGCTAACATTTCCCGTGGACCAGGGATGTTGCCTATCATGGAGGCAATTAAAAGATGCCTCGTGAGAGCAGCATTTCCAATGGCTGCGTTGTCCGCCCTATGCAGATGCTACTCTTAGATTTTCTATGTGTCTGTTGCAGTTTCAAGGTCTCCTGTGGTCTGTTCCTGCTGATTGTTCCTATCCGACCTATTTATTTAGGGTTGGGAGCCCTCCGTTCGAGGGAGACAAATGCTTGGTTGGAACAGGCAGGCTTTGCGCAGAATGGGAGTCTTTGCTGTGAGAACGAGTGAGGGAGGAATTACAGGCTACGTTTCCTTATCGGCTAAGCACTGAGAAGTTTTGTCGTTTTCTCCCACTTTGTTTTTTAAGATTTATTTATTTTATTTGAAAGGCAGAGTTACAAGGGGCGGGAAGAGAGGAGAGAGATTGATCTTCCATCTGCTGGTTCACTCCCCAAATGGCCTCAAGAGCTAGGGCTGGACCACGTGAAAGCCAGGAGCCTGACACTCCATCCAGGTCTCTCACATGGGTGGCAGGGACTCAAGCACCTGGGCCATCTTCTGCTGCTTTCCCAGGAGCATTAGCAAGGAGCTGGATCAGAAGTGGAACAGCCAGGACTGGAACCGGTGCCCGTATGGGATGCCAGCATCTCAGGTAGAGGCTTAACCCTCTGTGCCACAATGCTGACCCCATT